CGCGTCCGGCTCTCACCTGCAGTTTGGAGTGGTTGTACAGCCAACGCAAGGCAGCGGAGGTCAGGCTTGGGGCGTTGGCATCATAAGCATCTTTCAGAGCTCTTTCTACTAGGGCAATTCCTTCAAAATTGTGCTTCTTCCAGTACCTGCAAGAAAAGAAATCACTCTTACTGCCCTTGGGACCTCTTGTGAATTGTACATCTATAGTCCAAGCAAGTACGAAAGGCTTTCAGGAAGCCTCGTACAACTCTTTGTAGTCTCCGAGGACTTCTGCAATCCCCCACTGCAAGCCGGGAGGAAGCTGAGCCTAAAAACCACTCTGCAAAGCTCACTCACAAGCCGCGGCCCCAACCACATGTGCAGACGTAATCACTGCACAAGCTCTGGTCAACTCTGCTTCCTCTCAGCTGATTGTTAGTGTGTTTTTTTTTAAGTAAGCCACCCCTGCTGCAGCTCGCTGCTCGCCTATTGTACCTGTCCCTGTAGGCTTGAGCCCAGTCATTCCCAAAAAATCTTCCAGTGGGCTGCAGCGTGTCTTTGTCTTCATACTTGTACTTGCCGGTCAGCAGCCCTCCTGCAAAGGGTCAGCAGCAGGTTTAGTGACGGGCTGGCTCATCTGCAGCCCCCGTTTCGCGTGTTTTTGTCTCAAAGTCTCACCCTTTCCCTCCCGGTACCTGCCAGTGGATTGTAGGCGTAGAACCGCAGTCCGTAGTATCTCAGGCAAGGCAGCAGCTCAGCTTCCACCTGGCGAGTGGTCGCATTGTACATACCCTGCACGACAATGAAGGAGACAAAGAACTTCAAACACCAGTGGTCACGAGCACCTGGAACAGCCTTTTCCTCACCCTGCCCTGACACTACTCTTTATCGGTCCAGAAGAGCCGTGCCAGGTCACCCAAGGTTATTGTCTGCGTAGCAACAGACTTTCTACAGGACTGCAAATAATGCAAAAACTCTCAAGTTCCACATCGAGGGAGTCAGTGACTCAAGCAACAAACACCTACTCAGCTTTTTCCGACGAGTGATCTCACTCAGCTTTCTAATCACACGTGTCCCAAAAGGACTTCCCACACCAAGAGCAGCACCTTCCTCTTCTGTGTTTGTACCTGGCACACTGGGGGCTGGTCCAAGATCTGGAGCTCCCAGACCCTCCCCTGTGCTGGCTGACCACCGCTGTAACAACAGAGAACCCCCCGCATGCTGCGTTGATCTGAAGTCTCCTTTCAGTTTGATTCATCTCAGCCTCCACAAAAGATTTGCTGGACCACCGCAAGCCCCCACCCCTCACCTGGTACACGGTTGGCATCACCCAGTTGTTGTATTTGCAGACGGTGCAGATTTCTGCGACCTCCCATGCTGCATAATTCGATAGTCCGAGTTCTTTAAACTTTCCCTGCAGAGGAATAGAAAGGTATTCGGTTCCAGTTTTTAAAGTGCATTTGTACCTAGACGGTGCAAGATGCATATGGTAAAAAGCACAGTCGACAAATTTTATTCCACAGTACTTTCCTCATCCCTGTTCACCTCTTCTAGGTGACTATGAATTATAAGTCCTGACAAAAAATATTTCCTATTTTCTGTTCATATTGAACTCACACCTTCTAATTTAAATGGTACTATTAGATCAATGCAATTCAGGAATTCTTCACCCATTACCAGCACTAATCTTAACCTAGTCAGTTAATGTGGCTGAAAGCAAAGGTCAAATGTTCTAACGTTCCCAAGAGCTTTTGAGAACAAAGTGCACCACATGAACAGGCAACAGGACGTCAGCTGTTTGGCTTTCCCCCGGTCGTCTGTGTTCCCTCCTCCTAGCGTTGCACAAACCCGGGGCTGCAGCTGGGCACAACAAGCAGCCCTGATTTAAAAAGGTGGTGGGAGAGGGGGAATCAAGAGATGGTCCAGGCCTGGACTTGCCACTTTACCTCTTTGTGCAGCTCATTGCAGGCACGCAGCGTCTCCTCCACCGGGGTCCCGTGGTCAGGGGCATGGAGGTAGAAAAGCTCCACGCTCGTCCTCTTCAGCCTCTCCAGGGACGTCTCCAGCTGCGATCGCACACTCTCGGGCTTCAGCGTCTTCCCATCCCAGGGATTGGCCTTGGTGGCGACTTCCACTGGCAGAGAGAAAGAAAGAACAAGTAGGGACGTTTCCACCTTCAGGGAGGGAATGGGGATAAGGGGCGTAATGCAGGCATTGCTGGAGGCATTTCGGGGGAGGCCCTTCTCCTCGGGAACACCGGTCTGCCCTAGAGAGGGAGGCCCTTGTCCCCAAGGCCTGGGGGTCAGCACTAGTAGGGGAGACCCTTCTCAGGGAATGGGCCCAGAAGAAGCTCTTCTCCTCAGGGACAGTCAGCCTGGCAGGGAAGAGCCTTCTCCTCAGGGAACGGGCTCAGAAGAGCCTTCTCCTCAGGGAATGGGCCCGAGGGAAGTCCCTTCTCCTCAGGGACGGTATCAGCCTAGCAGGGGGAGACCCCTCCCCTCACAGACCGCCCCCTCCATCCCCACTGCGACCATCCCCGGCCGTACCGGGCTCC